ACCTTTGCCATGGTCTGAGCTATGTTCTTGTGCTCTTGTTTGGCTTCGTGATATGCTTGCTGCTCTGTATCGAAGCTCATTCTTGGTTCATAGCCCTTGTTCGCAAAAAACGCACTTGTCTTGGTTGCATCTGATGGCAAACTGTTGGCAGCAAACTCTGCCATGCACAAGTATGAAACCCAATTGTCTTGAAGATAGTTCACATGAGCTCGCAAGTAGCGTTCGAGCTCTGCATTGAATCGCTCAGTCTGTCCATCTGTTTCTGGGTGGAAGGCAGTTGAAAGTTTGGCCGAAATTTTCCAAATTTTGCAGAGCAAACTCCAGACTTCTGCAATGAACTGAGGACCTCTGTCTGATATTATCGAGTTTGGTAGACCATGGTGCTTCCATACATGTCGAAGTAAGAGCTGTGCTGTAGCTTCTGCAGTAGTCCCTTCTTGCCCAGCGAAACACGGAATGAAATGTCTTTCTTTCGTCAACCTGCATGCAACAACCAAGATAGCATTGTTCCCTTCACAGAGTGGTAATCCTGTCACGAAATCCATTGATATATCCATCCATGGTCGACTGTCAATAGGGATTGGTTGTAGAAGTCCATTGTAGGAATCTCGAGATGGTTTCGATCTTCGACAGCTATGGCAGTTTTTGATATATCGAATTATTGTTTTGTCCATGTTTGGCCAGTAATAGTGCTGTTTCATGACTCGCAGCATCTTTCCAGCTCCTGGATGTCCCATAGAAGGTTGTTCATGAACTTCTCTCAACAAGTCCACCTGAATGGTTTCTGGCACCCAAACTCGATTTTGATATTCTAGCATGCCGTTTTTGAGTTCGAAATAAGCCAATGCAACCTCTTTGCTTGTTCGATCACCATTCTCAAGCTTCTGTAGTGTAGCCTAGCAGAATTTGTCTTCCAGTTGAGACTTTTGGATTTTCTCAAGAATTGTCATTTCTCTGATATGAGTTTCCACTGGAGCTAGCTGAGCTGTTTGGCCTTGTTCTTTGAGTTTCTGAATGTCTGGATGTAGCCTCGAAGGTGGTAGCAACACCTGAAGCTGTTGCTTTTGTTGATCATCCTCATCATTGCCTTCTGGTCTGTCACCAGGCCTTCGAGTCAAAGCATCTGCTTTTCCATTTTGCTTCCCAGGCCTATAGATGATCTGGAAGTTGTATCGAGAGAGGAATTCAGCCCATTGAGCTTGTCTTCTTGTCAGCTTCTTGGTGGACATGAAGTATTCCAAGCTTTTGTGATCAGACAAGACTTGGACTGGAAAATCTGTCCCTTCAAGTTCTGGTCTCCATGCTTCGAAACATCTGATGATTGCAAGCAATTCCTTGTCATATATCTCGTAATTGCATTCTGCAGGTGCTAGCTTTTTCGAGAAGTATGCCACTGGATGTAGAACCCCTTGATCATCTTTTTGTGACAAGACCCCTGATGAGATGAAGTCTGAGGAATCTGCTTCGACATAGGCTGTCTTGTGTCTATCGAAATGCCTCAAGACAGGAGCTTCTGTGACTGTTTGTTTCAACAGCTCGAATGCAGTTTGGCATGCATGAGTCCATTCGAATATCTGATCCTTTCTGGTAAGGTTCACCAATGGCCTCATGATGCTGGAGTAATTTCGGATGAACCTTCGATAGAAATTGCAGAATCCAATAAAAGCTTACATATCCCTGAGCGATTTTGGAGTTTGCCATTCCAATATAGTAGAAACCTTTGCAGGGTCCATGCGAATGCCATTGACTCCCACGATGAGTCCTAGGAATTTGGTTTCTTGGACGAAAAACTCACATTTTGAGATATCTGCTTGCAGTCCAGCTTCTCGAAGCTTCTGTAGGACTTTCCTTATGTGCTCTGTATGCTCCGCTCGAGTAGCACTGTAGATAAGAATGTCATCCATGTATGCGGTGACGAATTGGTTGAGGTAATCCATGAGGGTTTCATTCATGTACCTCTGGAATGTTGCTGGACCATTTGTGAGTCCGAAGGGCATGACCTTGTATTTGTAGGATCCAAATCGAGTTCTAAATGTAGTGAGGTCTTCATCTTCTTCTGTCTGCATTCGAATTCGATTGAAGGCATGTCGAATGTCCAGTTTGGTGAGATATTTTGCTCCTATGACTTGGGCCAGCGTTTCATCAATGAGTGGTATGGGATATCGATCCTTTTTCGTTATGGCATTTAGCTTCCTGTAGTCAACACAGAATCGAAGACCACCACCTGGCTTTCTCACAAACATAATGGGTGAAGAGTATGGGGCTTTGCTTGCTTCAATGAACCCTTTTGGCAAGTGCTCGAAGACATATTCTTCGACCAAATCAAGTTCTTCCTTTGACATATTCCAGAGTGGTGCATATCCCAGCTTTGCATCACCTTCGAGTTCAATATGATGGTCTGAAGGTCGATGGGGAGGTAGCTTGTCTGCTGCCATTTTTGAAAAAACATCCAAAAATTCATGAAATTCCTTCGGAAGGATCAGTCGAGAGTCAATTTCTTCAGTTTTGGTCTTGTTCTTGTGCTCGATTATGTCCTTCATTGATATAGCAAAGACTTGAGCTCCTCTTTGCTTCATGAGCATTCGAAATGGTGCTGCGCCAATCATTGCTATGGTGCAAGGTTTTGGTTTTTCCACTTTCAGAGCAGGTTCCGGAGGAGGCATTTCTTTGGCTTTCTTCTTTGGCCTTTGTCTTTCACTTTTAGATATAGGCTCTGTTTCGAGGGCTCGATCTGGTATAGAATGGTTGCAATAATCTCCAGTGAAGAGGACTTGATCATTGATCATATCGAGAACAACTCCATGTTGCTTCATCCAAGCTTTCCCGAGAATGATGGAATGTTTTCCCAGCGAAGTGATGAATAATGGACATAGGCTTTCCACATGCTCTCCCACTTGTAGTCGAGGATATATAGCATGTGTGATAGCAGGGGCAGCCTCTCCATTGAATCCTTCAACTTGTTTTGGCTTCACAAGTTCGACTGGGGCTATCCCTTCGATTTCACATATTCTTTCTGCATCAACAGCATTAATGAAGTTTCCACCTGTGGCACCAGTATCGATCAATGCATGGACAATAGCTTTGTATTTTCCTATTCTACAAGTAGCTAAGAAAGGGGTGTCCGGATCAAAACTGGATCTCGAGGAAGAAGCTGCAATTCTGGCTGCACTGCCTCTAGTGATGACTTGTCTAGAGGCTATTCGTTTTCCGAATCGATGATAGACTCAGCTGTAGATACCTCATTCACTTGAGCTTTGAGCTTCTGGGGACAGTCTCGAGCTCGATGTCCATTTTGTCGGCATATAAAGCATTTCCCAAGTTTCATGAGCATTTCTTTTGCTGGATCTTGATGCCGTGGTCGATACAGCTTCTGCGTCTTGTTTTGCATGTTCGAATCTATTGTAGGTTGAGGGATTGAAGTTTGAAGTGCCTGGCCCTGATTTTGAGTTTGGCCCATGTTGTTCGAAAATGACTTTGGGTTCCTTTTGTCTTCTTGTTCCTTGATCCACTGAATGTTCTGGTCGATGAGCATGCATTTCTTTGCAAACTTGTGAAGTGTAGTAGCTCCAACTTCAGCCACTAAGGCTTTCTGCATCTGTTGGTTGACTTTGAAGCGCAAGTCATCCAGCAAAGTTTCTTCAGAGTAATCAAGCTCTGTCGTGAGCCTTTGGAACTCAGCCCAGAACACTGCAAAGGTGTTGTTTCTCTGATACAGCTTTCGATACTCAGTTTGAGCTGTGTGCCTTCGATCGGGATCACTGAAGACTTTTTCCAAAAGTTCGAGAATTTCTTCTGCTGTCTGCAATTTGTTTGTAGAGTTTGGTCGAAGCCTTGGATTGACATGTCAAACTGCCAGTCCTCCCAGTCGACTCTGAATGTAGCTGATTTGTAAAGTCTGTGTTGGAAAATGATCAATGTTGGCTTCGGGCTTGAGGCGAATTTTCACAACCCAGTCTTCAAATGCTGGCTCTATCCCATCTGTGAGGATTGGAGGGTCTGGAATCCGAGCTGACAGTCGACTGTGAGAGTGGTGTCCTGGTTCATTCTTCAGAGCTTGTTGGGTTTGCTTTTCAAGATATTTCTGAATTGTTTGTTGCACTGTGATTTGTTGCTCGTTGCTCTGGATCAGTTCCTGTAACTGGAGAATGGCATCATCCTTTTCAGCCAGTATCGAATTTGAGTCCTCTGCTAGGACCAAATAGTCCCGAAGAATGTTCTTGTGCAAAGTCCATGCCATTTTCTGGTTGGCGACAGATAGTTTCTGGAATTCGTCAAAGGTTTCAACATTCCATTCAGCCTTTTCATGTCGATTTGCAAGTATAGATTCATGTCTCTCTTGAGCTGTTTTGCCCAGAGTATGAAGGAAGGTTTCGGATTTGAAATTAGGATCATGAAGTTCATTGGTTTGGTTTGCAGAGCTTGGAATTGATGCTCCTTCTGCCAGGGATTCCTGGTCTTGTTCTGGATCATTTCGAGCTGCCATTGCAGCTTTTTCTTCAGCAGTATAAGCCATAGCGAGTTGCTATTTCAATTTCGGTTTATATCGTCAAGTCAGACACATATTGCCAAAGGCCCTATTGTGCAGTTGTTGGCCGTAGGAGCCACTCCAGAGGAGCGCACTTCCCTCACAGTTATATCCTTGTCGAGGGAGCGTTGTAAAAGGTCTGACTTGCGAAGGTGGTGTGTGTGTGTCGAGCTGACTGTCGAAAGCCAACTTTGAGGGGTTGCCTCGAGATCGTCCTGGAATCAACTTCCGGATAAGGTTTCTGGTTCTGGGATTTTCCAAGAGTGGATTTCGATTTCGATTTCAGAAGAGGGTTCAGCTCAAAGAGCAGGAAAAGAGGTATAAGAGAGATTGAGTTTTATGTCACGGTTCACCAAGGCATAGGGCGCCAGTTGGGTATTATGAATTAAACTCAATCTAGAGAAGAAAGGAAAGAGAAGAGGAGCACTCGAGCAGTGGCTCGATCTATATACAGCTATTGTGGAGTGAATTCTCTTTAGCGAGACCAGTTCTGAGAATTCACTCCACAACTGAAAACTTCGCTCCAACCCCGGAAAGCTCCCCACACCCCTGAACCCCCACTCGAGCTGCAAGGCGCACTTGATATCGTAACAAGCTCCACCTCCCGGCGCCCCGTCTCGAGGCATCCCTCCAGGTCTGCGTGCAGCTTGGCCGACCGGTCGGCCGACTGGGCTGTACTAGGTAACGGGGCCTCCTCGTCGGAGGGCACGTCGGTGAGGTCTGGCTTGTCGTCGTTACCGCTCTCATCTCTAGGGGTCCTCCAACCCTCGCTGTCTGTCACCTGGCTGTCCATCCATAGCCCGGGCAGTTCGGGGTCAGCTCGCAGGGTTTGGGTAGCGTCCTGGTTTTGTGAGCGCGATCGAGTTGTAGCTCCTTCAAATGGGGCGTCCATTTCAGCTCCTCGTGCCAGCCTAGGTTACTGGGCTATCCTCTAGGTGGTAGAGTTTAGAATGTTAGGGTCTGGTAGATAACGTGATAGTCCTAGGCTATAGCAACCGCTCCTGTATTCAACAAGCTAAACTCTACCGCCTACTATAAGAGGGGGTAGCTACTCTATATAACTATTTTGGCTTAACCGCCCATGGGTCGGGCCCGACCTGCCGCCGACCTCCATGGCACCTAGTAAGAGGGTGGCCATTAAGTGCCTTAGGACTAAGGCACCTACGTCCCGTAGGCGCGTCGCCCCCTACGCCCCACGTGGCCTCCTCGGTAAGCGCGTGGAGGCCTTGGCCTTTGAGGTCTCCATGACCCGTAGGCGCCCCGGCGCCGTGGCTTACCGACCTCCTTCCTACACCCGTGACAGTCGTGTATACCAGCCAGGGTCCCTACCAGGTGAGGATCTTGGATATAAGGGGTATAGGGTGTCGATTCTTAATCGTCATTGCATTTAGGCAACGATAATCCACACACAAATGCTTAGTGTCATACTGACATTCGTTGCACTCAGTTTGCTATCAAACTCAAGAGCAAACTTAGAAATCTCCTTCTAACCTACAAGTCACCATACATATCTTGGCTTATCACACCAACAACAAGAGCAATACTACTCAACGATTGCTGCAAACTCTTCTACTACATCTGTTTATGCTACATACATCACAGCATATCATTTGGACACTCATGGAACAAGTTATTAAGAAAATCTCCTCCTTAAGGGGGTGGGCCAATACTACCACATGGCATATCTCTACTAACTAGAGGCCTAGGAACATGAACGATAGCTCTAGAAGCTTCTACAACCCTCTATGATTCATTACACATCATCGCTCCTTAGTTACCCACAAGATCGGTTAAGTTATGACATAATTTGTCTACGGTTACGCTCGCGCTACATCCCACTGAGCCAAAAAGACTACAGTATTCCGGCTCGCCCGGAATACACGTAACACTCTTGATATACCACATGTACTGTAATGGCGGCACCCGTTACAGTGGTACTCTGACCTTGGACCTCCTTTTACTTTCTATAGGCTAGGAACCCAAGAGATGGTTTTATGGGATTCTCTTACATTCACTACATGATTAGCAAGCTAGTTGTGGGTCGCGCTTGATTTCTAATACAGTTACCAAGCCTTGTTAGTCATGGAAAGTCTTGGAAAATGAGATAACTACACTCCTTTAGCATAAATAGGATTGCCCTTTCCTTAAGAAATGGCCAAGCAGACAATACAGTAAATGGACTAGCACATACTTCTACGTCTTAAGCAGTATTTAAAGAGCTTCTTATTGAGTGGATTGCTGTTGATTCAATTGCTTTCAAAAAGTTTGAATCGCCTCAATTCAAGACTCTTTTAAAGTATCTAAATTGCCATGTCGAAAGCTGCCTTCCTACTCGAAATACTGTCAAAAACTGGCTCCTTCAACAATATCAAACTCGACGTACAGATCTTCAAGACGAACTTGCCATCATCACGCAAAAAATCCATCTATCAATTGATATTTGGACTGGGGAAGGCGTTGCTTATATTGGCATTATTGCTCATTACTTCGATCAATACAATCAACAAAAGGCCCCTGTATTAGTTTTCCATGAGCTTATAGGCCCACATATTGGTGAGAACCAGGCAACATATGTGACAAATGCTCTTGTTGAGTTTGATATTATTAACAAGCTTGGCTATATAATGCTTGATAACACTTCAAATAACGATACCCTTATGAAGCATTTGTTACAAAGTACATTCATTTAAGATTATTAGACCAATTAAATCAAATATAATTACATATCTAGATCTCAAGAACGAGTACCAAATTGATTACGATAGCAAGCACCATAGACTTCGTTGTATGGGTCACATCATCAATCTCACGTCTCACCTAATCCAACACCACTTGAACTATCCAATTGGCGCACAAATGGGGCTCTTGGAAAGCTTCACAACATTGTTGTTTTTGTACAACGGTCGCCACAACGAATTGCTGAATTTAGAGAGTATAGCCAAGGCAAAAGGCTTGAACAGGACAACTCAACTCGTTGGAACTCATGGTCTCATATGATTGGCTGCGCTCTATGGCCTGGTGTTCAGCCTGCAATTCGGATGTTTTGCTCAGAGCACAAGGATGAGCTTTGGGATGAAACTTTGACTACTGATGAGTGGTCTCATCTTGAAGAAGTATTTGGGATTCTCAAGATCCTAGAACAAACTACACTTGATGTAGAAGGCTCGTTTGGCTCTCTTGGCAAGGTTATTATGACCATGGATTTTTAGCTTAAGCTTTTCGAAGACATTACAGAGTCAAAAACGGAAAGCAAATATTCAGATGCAATTAAATCTATGGCTAATGACACATGGAATAAGCTCAACAAGTACTACAATATGACAGAGACAAGTGAGGCTTATATTGCTTCAATTGTTCTTAATCCTCAGATCAGTACTTTACAAAGCAATGGCCTGATTGGATTAATCAAGCTAAAAAGGACATGTTGGCCTTCTGGAAGACTTATTACAGTAGTGCAAACATTTTTGAAGATCTTTTAAAGCCTGACACAGTACAGGCGCTCGAGTGTATCAAGTCCTGGACGCTTCAGAAAATTGGATCTGAGGATGTGGATCGTAGCATAGAACAGCTAGAGTTGGACATCATGTAATTCTATTGCGATTTTCCCCAAGTTACCAAGGCTCGTAATGAGGCTGAAATACTACACTGACTGCACTGTTTACACTATCAGTGCGACACTGATAGTGCAGTGTGAGATCTGCACTGCACTATCAGTGCAGAAGCAGACCCCTCAGACTATATATCCTCTGGGTTCTATCACAGAAGGACGGCCAAGGAGTACTACACCCCATTGCCTTCTTCTCAAAGAAAATGACACCTGCTGAGTGCAATTACGAGATCTATGACAAGGAGCTACTGGCCATCATTAGATGCTTCGAAGCATGGAGACCAGAAGTTGAGGGCATAGCAATGCCAGTACAAGTTTTGTCAGACCACAAGAGTCTTGAATATTTCATGAGCACAAAAAAGCTTACTAGGCGGCAAGTTCGATGGGCAGAATTCCTCTCTCAATACAATTTCTAAATCATATATCGACCTGGCAAGCAGAACGGAAAAGCAGATGCGTTAACTCGAAGACCAGGAGATAGACCAGAAGGGAATGAAGAAGATGACTGTCAAAAACAACAGCTTCAAACCCTATTACCCCTTGAGAGACTCCATCCGGATCTCGCACAGCAGCTAGAACTCAAAAGTCAAGGGCAGGCACAAGATGCTCAACTTTCACCAATCCTACCACAAGATCAAAGCATCCATGACCAGATTCAAGCTGCGCAGCTCCAGGATGAATTATGCAAGGATACAATCTGAAGACTACAGAACAACGAGCGAGATAGCCCGAATATAGCCTTAGCACATTGTGAAGAGAGAAATGGACTCCTACTCTACCAAAATTGAGTTTGGATCCCAGAAGACGTCCGAGTTAAACTCCTTCATGAGGTTCACGACCAACCAGCAATGGGACACCCTGGAATTGGGAAGCTGATTAGAATCATTAAGAGACAGTACTACTGGCCCCGGATGGACAAAACTATCACTCAATATGTGAGGAATTGCCATACCTGCAAGAGATCAAAACCAACCCGGGACGCATACAATGGACTCCTACAACCAATCCCAATTGGAAGCCAACCATGGAAGGACATATCACTCAATTTTATTACAGGATTACCATTATGTGAAGGAAACAATTCTATCCTTGTAGTAGCATGCCGACTTACAAAAGAGCGCCATTTTATCCCATGCTTTGCAGGTAAAGAAGGCACTACAGCAGAAGCTACAGCGAGGTTACTACTCCAGCATGTATGGAAACACCATGGTTTACTAAATTTCATCATCTCAGACAGAGGGCCCCAGTTTGTAGCTGCAGTGTGGAAAATCCTCTGCAAAGTTTGGAAAGTTACAACCAAATTGTCTACAGCCTTCCACCCAGAAACGGACGGGCAAACTGAAAGGTTTAATGCAGAACTCAAGCGATATTTACGGGCTTACGTCAACTATCTCCAAGACAACTGGGTTGAATACTTTGCATGGCTGAATTCACAGCAAATGCCCTTCCATCAGACTCAACAAAAGTTAGCCCATTTTTTGCAAACAAGGGTTTCGAGCCAAGAATGAGCTTTGATATAGAGGATAGCATGTTCCAAACTGCCCTTCAAGAACATAAGGACATAGCTCAAAACATGAAAGATGTTTGGGAATTCCTACAAGACCAGATCGCCCTCTCACAAACCCGAATGGAGCACTTTGCAAATCAAAACAGGAAGCCAGCACCAAGATATAAGATAGGAGACCGAGTCTGGCTTTCTACTCGGAATATCAAAACCCAACGACCCTCAAAGAAACTTGACCATAAGCAAGTTGGTCCATTTCAAATCCTTGAGTGAATTGGGAATGTTGCATACCGACTCCAGCTACCACCAAGCATGAGGATACACCCTGTGTTTCATAGCAACCTCTTACGACTTGACTCAGATGATGCTTTACAAGGCCAGCACCATGAACCACCCCTGCCAATCATTATAGAAGATGAACTTGAATGGGAAGTTGAAGAAATCCTAGATTCTAAACTCCTACGGAAGAAGCTGTTCTATATGGCAGCATGGAAGAACCACCCACTAGACAACACTTGGTATCCTGCTACAAACTTCAACAATGCACCTGAACTCACACAAGCTTTCCACCGAAAATACCCGCAGAAGCCACGATGATCTTACTCTTGATCAGGAGATCAATCTTACTAGGGGGGGGTAGTGTTACGATTACAGCTCACAGTGTCACAGGTATAGGAAGGAAGGTTGGAGGACTACGGTGCCGGGGCGCCTACGATCCGTAGGAGCCTTAGGGCCGAGGCCTACGGGCGCCCTATAGGAGAGGCCACATAGGTAGTGCCTTAATTGTAAGGCTACTATAGCCACCCTATTAGGGGGGGCCACGTAGACCAGGGTCGTGTCGGTTCCGACTCGGTCAGGGCCTGGTACATAAGGTAGCTGCCCCCTCTTAGAATAGGGGGTAGAGTTTAGTTTGTCGAATACAGAAGTGGTTGCTCGAGCCTAGGGTTATCACGTTATCCATTGAACCCTAACACACAGCTTGTCACAGCTTGTTACAGTTGTTACGGTTGCTACGGTTGTTATGGTTGTTACAGTTATTATGGTTATTACAGTTGTTATGGGGATTACGGGTGTAGCCTTAGCCACAAGGTTACAACCGCTAAGCAGACAACTGTATGTTATGAGAAATAGCCTCACCTTCCTTCCTTCTTCTTCTTCTTCTCTCTTTAGATTCAATCTAGATTACTTTTCCTGGACTGGCATCATGACCTCTATGACCATCGTAACAGTATATATACTGCTAGGTGTATATATATGGCTTCACACCTGTAGTTTACTTAATTAAGTCGTCAAACTCTAAATTTGTGCTTAACACAACTGTATGCAAGTGATAATAATCCCAATTAGTCTAGGAGACCTTCTGCCATTTAACAAGTCACAGTCACTAGCATACAAAATGCATCATATATCTATAGCGAGTATAAGTAAGAAGAAGCGATAGTGGCATTTCAGAACTATACCTAATCATCAACTACTAGCTTAAAGCCTTGTATAGATAATCAACTTGATCCTAGCAACTAATAATTATTAGGACTGCCTATTCACTTTGCTTATAGTCAGAGGAAGCAAGTGTCCCCTCTTAGGGCAAAATAAGTAGGTATCTTCACATAGAAAATTATATAGAAAGGTACTTCTTCTCATTTATTCTATAATGTGAAAACTACACTCTCCTCACCACTTTCATTAGAACCATCATCTCCTACCATATCTACTACCTCTATTTGCCCAACTACCCCTTCTGCTTCTGCTTGTGCTTCTGCTTCTGCTGTTGCTTATGCCTTTTCTTGTGCCTCTAGATCAAGAATGGGAGTCAAGAGCTTAATTGGTATAAACTCTTTTACTTGAAGAAGCTGTACAACCTCCTTCTTTCACTCTTGCTCTCTTTTCCATGCTTTAATCCCAGATTGATGTAAAGCCTCCTTTGCTTGTGATGCTTCTGCCTTTGCTATTCTAGCAACTTACTTCTCTTGCTTGTCAACCTCCTTTTGTGACTTTTGATGAATCCTAGCATGTGCATGATTAAAGCACCCCCAAATTGAAGTGTACGGTGGCTTCTGCTTTTGCGATTTTGACTAACTTAAACTTGTCCTTATAGTATAGAATAATAAACTCTCATATTTAAGCATCTGCTAATACTCCCTCTATCCCTTGCAATGAAGTATTAAATTGCTATTTTGACAGGCTACTTAACAATGGAGTAAACTTATCTTTCTATACTTGAAGTTGCTTCTCTGAATTCTTTAACGTAGGTAGCAAGGTTGTGTTTCATCCTCTTGTAATGGCTTTGAGTATTTCTGGATTTTCACAAGAGAAACTACACTATTATCAGGCTACATTCCTGCCTTTTGAAAAGCATGAATGATAGTTTGAGATTTGAAAGTATCTGATCTGCTCTAATCTGTGGAAGATCTCGCATAAATGAAGAGATATTATATTTAGATCAAACTTCTATATTGCTGCTTAAATGGCAACTTTGTGCTAATGCTTATACAGTTAGAAAATTCTAACATTAAGAGGTTGTAAAATGTGTGTTACGATGAGATGGAAATGTAAAGGGGTAGATATGGTGTTTCTCTACAAGAATAGCAAAGGGAGGATAATGGTGACTTGTATGAGAATCAAGTAATAAAACTTTAGTTCAAAGGTTTATGTACTTTGAGTATGCTTAATAAAGTGATTTAGCCATTCCATGGAAAGTTCGTCATTGTATATCCACTCTCTAAAAGTAAAATTCTCTCTATTCTATAAAGATTCTCATACCCTCACAACCTACAAAGGAGGTTGCTAGTGCGCGGCCCATACTGTGTTACGGTTGCGCTAGGTCAATCAATGGTTGAAAATGAGTCTGATAACATGTTCATAAATTAATTACTCGATCTAACCACTGTGACAAGTCAGCTTTGGCTGATTTGGTACATTTGGTACTAGCAACCCATGTGCATGAGTGCATGATGTGGTCTAGGGACTTTTGGCGGCTATAGGAGCAGAGTTAGGCGTCCCTATGAGCAAATTTTGTGTGGTACTAAGAGAAGTCGCCGTAGTGTAAGGACAGTTCGAACCGAGGCTGACCTTCGAGTCTGGAGAAGCATCCGTAGTATAATGTGAAGACTTCTATACTCAAAGCAGTAGGACAAGGTATAGTAGTTCAGGCTCCAAAGCATATACTTTATACCACAGGGGTCAAGTGGTGAGACTAACAGGTTGGCCAAGTGGTTCGACTCAAAGTTGTCACGGTTCACCAAGGCATAGGGCGCCAGTTGGGTATTATGAATTAAACTCAATCTAGAGAAGAAAGGCAAGAGAAGAGGAGCACTCGAGCAGTGGCTCGATCTATATACAGCTATTGTGGAGTGAATTCTCTTTAGCGAGACCAGTTCTGAGAATTCACTCCACAACTGAAAACTTCGCTCCAACCCCGGAAAGCTCCCCACACCCCTGAACCCCCACTCGAGCTGCAAGGCGCACTTGATATCGTAACAAATGTAAGGGAATGCAAAGTAAGTCGAAGCAGGAGGAATTGCCAGAAGGCCAAGTAGTGTATAATTTGCTAGCTAAAGATCAATAAGAGATATGAGCAATAAGTGCTTATATAACAGTAAAAATCCCTAGTGCCAAATAAGCGAAGGCACTAATTAACCGAACCCTAGCTAAGCGAGCCCTAGTGAAGCGAGCCAATAACAAGAGAGCCTAAGCCAGTAGTCATTTTGGGCTGATCTAGGTCAGCAAGTAAAGCGAAGTGAGTGAAGTGAGTGAAGCAGGTGAAGTGAATGACTACTAGAGACTAAAGCGAATTGAAGGGTCATGACACAAATATCGAAGGAGTGTCATGACACGTAGGCCGAGTGTAAGGATGCCTCCTTACTCGGGGTAGTTACGGCCGTCACGTGGCGCCATCGAGACTCGGGGCCGTTACGGGTCAGTCGCGACTGACAGCCTTAGGCACATAACGTAAGGAAGCCTTAGGCAAACAGGGAGCTAGCTGAGTCGGAGCGGTTTCGGGTATTTTAAGGGAACAGCCATACAGGGTGACACCTTCATCTTTTTTGTATCCTTCGTAGTAGACCTATAGGATAGAATACAGCATCACCTCCGACTCGCACTCCCATATGCACCTACGGAGAGCCGTATTCCCTGTGTCCTTACACCGAGCGTATTGCGAGGAGCCTATAGAGTGTGCCTCTAGGGAGGTCGAGCTCTAGTGGTGATTTCACCTAGTAGCTAAGGTTCCATTTCTTGTACCAGGTAGAGAGCTTGATACTATGTTAGGTCCACTAGGACTGCTGTGCTTCTATATAGAGTTCCCTATAGACTAAGCGAATTCTGCTAACAGTGGGTTGTGATGCTAGAGTTGAGGTATTCAGTGCTAGTGCTATAGCCCTAAGGTCGGCTAGCTTGTCTGCTACTTCATTACCCTCTTATCTAGGCCCTGATGGCCTTAGCATCAAAGATGTAGGAGAGGAGGTTAACAGCCCCATGCCCTATAGCGACTTGGTGCTAGTTCTAGTAGATAGCGTACTCATAGCCTACCTTCCTGTTTCTAGCGTAGTGTTATTGTAATGATGTACGGTTACGCTCGCACTATATCCCACTGAGCCAAAAAGACTACAGTATTCCGGCTCGCCCGGAATATGCATAACACACTTTATATACCACATGTACTGTAACGGCGGCACCCGTTACAGTTGTTCTGATCCGTTAGAGAAGATGATGACATTAGTAGATGGTAGGGTCACCTACTACTATTTGAAGTTGGTTAAGGCTGTTTGGCTTCTTCTAAAGCTGCCATTGTAGAGGGGAGGCCTACGTCTCTAAAGAGGATGATGGTTAGTGTCATGCACCAGACTTGTCACGGGTAGGATGCCAAGGCCGCTAAGGGAGGCCTTGTAGCCTAATTGTAATGGTGGGTGCACCAGATGTGAGAATCTAGCCACCCAAGGAAGGGATGAATTTACTAAGACAACACACTGAAAACAGAGCCAAAGGGTCGTAGCTTAGACTATTCCACAATGCAGCAATCAGGTATGTGATGTAGTGAAGTGGTTCAGACAAGTTGCAACAAATGTTGAGTCTGGGAACTCAGGGGTAAGTCAGAGGTTAACACCTCACTGACTTTTCAGAAACAAGGAGTAACAAGATGAATGCTTGGAAGCTTGGAAAAGACGTGGAAGTATGTGATAGTCGATTTACTGTATTGTCTGCTTGCCCTTTCTTAAGGAAAGGGCAATCCTATTTATGCTAAAGGAGTGTAGTTGTCTCATTTTCCAAGACTTTCCATGACTTACCAGGCTTGGTAACTGTAGTCGATGTAAGAGAATCCCATAGAACCATCTCTTAGGTTCGTAGCCTATAGGAAGTAAAAGGAGGTCCAAGGTCAGAGTACCCCTATAGACAAATTATGTCATAGACAAATTATGTCATAGACAAATTATGTCATAACTTAACCAATCTTGTGGGTAACTAAAGAGCGATGACATGTAATGAATCATACAGGTTCGTAGGAGCTTTTAGAGCTATCGTTCATGCTCCTAGGCCTCTAGTTGGTAGAGATATGTCATGTGGTAGTATGAGTGATGTCATGTAATGAATCATAGAGGGTTGTAGAGATATGCTATGTGGTAATATCGGCCCAGTAACTAAGGAGCGATGACGTGTAATGAATCATAGATGGTTGTAGCAATCGTTGAGTAGTATTGCTCTTGTTGTTGGTGTGATAAGCCAAAATATGTATGGTGACTTGTAGGTTTGAGGAGGAGATTTCCAAGTTTGCTCTTGAGTTTGATAGCAAACTGAGTGCAACGAATGTCAGTATGACACTAATGCCGCTATTAGGCTGGAAGACTGCAAGATGGCGCCCGGACCCGACTCGCAACCGAGACGGCGGGGGCCCAACCCCGAAGGAGTAGATAAGGTAGCTGAGCCCCCTATTAGTAGGGGCTCAGAGATTAGTCTGTTGAATACTATACTATTTGCTCCAACCTACGGTCTTAGCACACTGCCTACCTAAACCCTTACAAGACTAGCCGCACTCATAATGAGTACTTTAGAAATCTAGTCAGCAGTTTTACAGATTGAAAATGAGACTAGTGACAACAAGGGCAAAGGTTAGGGGTAGCTGTTTGCTGGGTAGCTAGGGTGGTTTTGCTAGGTAGCTGGGTTAGTAGGAGCTACCTAGCAAGGCATAAAGGGTTGAACAAGACAGTATTGTCAAGGAAATTGAGGACGACCTACTTGTTAATGATTTGCCTAACTTAGAATTTAGTACACTTAGTCAGTGTTGCCAATAGTATATTGGTCTTGGCAGTATATTGCAATATATATTGCAATATGGGCCTTGGCAATACAATATGGCCTCACGCCATATGACTGTAATACAATATGGCAATATATTGCCAAGACCTATATGACTAATTATTACACACATGATAGTAAATGATGATGAAGATAAGGGACCCGCTTGCTTCCCATTTTACAATGCTAGACTTGGCAGTTCAGCTATGACCCGACAAGGGAAATTACTAGTAAATAGTATGTAATTCTCCCCTTCCGGCCATACCCCCCACAGCGTTCCCTTTGTAATCACCCATGTTATGTAGAGCCCTTTGTTCCCTCTGTAGAATACTGGCCTTTGATTGATTTTTCTAGTAGCAAGTGCTTCGGAGCAGGGCAGGTGGGGGGAAGTGGTGGCGGGTGCAAAAAGATACATCACGGTACTTCTATTGCCATACAAATATATATGGAAGTGGAAGTACCTATATGTACCCTTTTGATACTCTTCGGTATTTAGGATCGCAGCTTTCTATACTCTACTAGGAGAGAAGATTACAATCACAGATTGAAGGAATCGATTAGGAGTTGATACTATTGAGTATTTAGAGTGTTTGAAGTCGTGGCTTCATATTACGAACATTCCATAGAGCGACGAGTAGTACTGTCATTTCAATATAATACAATAACATGCGATATTATATATGAAAATAATCACATGATTTATATTGTTTTTCTTCATTGTATGACTGCAGTATATTATATTGCCAAGCTTTATTAACGTTATATGATTGTAATACAATATGGTCTTCTGCCATATGATTGTAATACAATATAGGAATTTCATTTCAATATATTGCCAAGACGCACTATTGGCAACACTGCACTTAGTTGTATTATAGTTAATAATTGATTTGAAGTTAGAAGACTTAGTTTTTAGTGCTCATTACGCCATAGTGCTCATTACGCCATAGTGCTTGTTACACCATTGTGAACGTTACGTTATACCATTAGAATTATATGTAACTTACAATTTTGGCCTATATAACGTGGTTTATCACTAAGCGGACCATATCACCAAGCAGGTCACTTTTCCTAAGTTTACTACCTACTAAATTTAACACACGTTTTCTTAACAACCACTAATGGAAATCCAATCCTAAATTTTAGAACACTAAAACACCTAACATTAAGTGGTTGGGTTACATGGGACGAGTGAGGAGGTAGACAAAGAATTATAATGCTATTAGCTTTGAAATACTCTTGGAAACCAGCTGACTTGTGACTCTCATGCCCATCTAGCACTAGCATTCGATATGTACAACTACAAGTGTGTTTGTCAAAGTGTTTTAGCCATTCTAGACCTGTCTCATTGTTAGTCCATCCATTAGAAGTAAGTTTAATAACCTAGTCTTAAGGCCACCCTCTGTGTATTAGCTAGCAAGGTGGTTTTTGCCTTCAACTACCAAAAATAGAGGAATGTCGAAATCTTAACTATTAACACAAACAATTGCTATAGCCCATTCTCGATTCCTAGGCTGAATAGCTAGCCTCTACCACATCAATTGGCATGTGTAACAACCACTCTAGGACAGATGATACCTATCATAAAGCTAGTCAGGTCATAATGCACGAACTTATCAAGAGGGTATAGATATATGTAGTTCATTTGATTCTGAGTAGTTTTAATAAATATTACACGTTATGGTGATTCAATTGTATTTTAAAGTGGTAGGGTAGTAGAAAAGTGATCCGCTTAGTGATATGATCTGCTTGATGATGTTGCCGAGAGAAAGCAGCAGCCTGTCAGCAACGAACTCAATGTATTGCTTCATCAAGTTGGCGTTCATGCCGAGCAGCGCACATGGAAGTGCCCCAGTCAAGAACTCTTGCTCGATGCTGACAGCCTCAGTAATGACGCCTTGGACGGCCTGCTTGCTTGAGCGGTGTCTAATGGGAGAAGAGGAGGCAGGCGAAGTCAGTGTGGAGGCCCTCGTTATGGGATATGAGCTCGTTCGAGAAGGTCAGACCAGCCATGAGGCCACGCTTGTTGAGCCAGAAAATAGAGGCGAAGGAGCCGGAGAAGAAGATACCCTCAACGGCAGCGAAGGCAACGAGACGCTGAGCAAAGGTAGAATCCTTGTCTTGTATCCACCTAACTGCCCAGTCGGCCTTCTTCTTGATGCAAGGAATGGTCTCAATGGCATTGAAGAGGTATGTGCGTTGAGCTTACTCCTTGATGTATGTGTCGATGAGGAGGAAGTATGTCTCGGCGTGAATGTTCTCGATCATGATTTGGAAACCGTAGAAGACAGCGGGCTTCTGGGATTTGGACTTCGCTGCTGAAGCGCTCGAGGAGGTTCTCGTTGACAATTCCGTCAGACGCGGCGAAGAAAGCGAGAACGTGGGAGATGAAGTAGCGCTCATCGTGATTGAGGCGGTTGTTACACTCCTTCCACTCCCCAACGCCTCCATCACCCCTTATCATCCTCAATCACATCACCCTCGAACCGAGCACGCATGCAGTCAGTTCCCTTATAGCACCGCAGTACTGTACAATTCCGTATCAACCGTATCCGATGTGAGACGCCCCACACAGCCGCAAACGCGGTTCACTCCGTTACCGCAGTGAGACTGTTTTTGACTTTCGTCCGGGTTGGTGTTGTTAAATTGGAGACTTTGCTGGGTGCGCATGAAAGAAAACTAACTTACACTTACTGTTGGGTGTTGGATCGGTCGAGAGTGCGCTGTACTGTGCTGTGGTGGTGCACAACAGTGCGTAGCAACCAATTCAAAACAAACACTCCTCCCCACAATTCCACCCTCAGCGCCGAAAAATAGGCCGGAGTGAGATTTCAATCCCATCGACGTAGCTATGACGGCATATCACTTACCTTTTAAATACATTTTCCCGCCACATCTGTTTACGAACCACCCACACAACCCCTCGGAACGACGGAAGCGGCGTTGTCTCAGACGGCAACGCTGTGTCCGTGCGTGCTTGTGCCGGATTGCTCGAGTTTTGAGTTTTGTTGCCAATCGAGATTTTTTTTTATGTAGGGGAGGGTGTGAAAAATGGGAATTGAAAAAATTAAAAATTATGTTTGGTGGACACCACGAGGGTATGGGTGTGGAGGTGGCTTGTTATGCTACTTTGTGCTGAAGGAAGTGGGAGCGGTTGCTGGGATGGGATGGGAAAGGGTGGATTGAGAACTGAGAATTCAGCCCTACTCCTCTCACATCATGCCATCTTTCCCCCCATCGAATTGTGACAAAAGACTAAGAGGGGAAGCTATTATGTACATCCCCCCCTCTCTTATCACGATTCCGGATTTTCCACATCGGGGCCACCCGGCCTCAGGGGCCTCACGGGCCTCGGTTCGAATTCCTGCTTCCCAAGCTCGAGCCGCTTCAGATCCTTCTGGCGGACGCACACGGCTTGGGATCGTGTATTGGCCTACTTGTACCGTAGAGCAAGATCCTCGCCAAGAGAGGGGGCGTATCGGGGGTTTGGTCTGGAGAAGGGGGTTGGCGATACAGAGATGGTGGAGAGGTCACTCGGCGACGATGTTTGTTGGACTGCCCTGACCTGTTCGTCCGTTGTATGGTTGTGCAGGTCAAGACCTCACCGCCGCTCAGCAGCATAGGGAGTATGAGAGGAAATCTCACATAACAATTCACTGCCTGACGCTGCCTCTCTGACGTAGCAGCAATATGGGCGTTGTGGACGTATTTTTCAGCGTGGACGGTGGATAGTGAATGGCCAGCCGATCCATCCATCCGTGCGCTGGATCGAGAACTGGTTTCCGTCCGTCAAGAAAAGGTGGAGTACAGGGAACCGACCCTATTGCATAGGGTCGGGGTAAGCAAAGAGCGTTCGCGGAAGCAAACGGCTGATGCTCACCGCCACTTCGTATCGTATCCCCATCCATAGCCCCAACATATCTATAGCTTATAATTTGTATACTACAACTATGTAATTGAAATGGAAGACCCTATTCTATCCGATGCTCGTGAATGGCTTGCGGCAAACCCATCTGAATCCGTTGCTGCCGCAAGCCGGATTTTCAAAGTATCAAAATCAACGCTTCAATCATCAATTACTCGACTTAATCGCACACGAGTTGGCCGTGGAGGACATAATAAGCTCCTTACAATTGCTTAGACGAAGGCCCTTAAAGAGTAAAAAATGAAGTGATCAAGCCACTCCATAGCAAGTTGGTCATTCGTATATCCTAATTCTGATAATAGAACCCGTTCTATGCTAATAAGACTTGGATGGTACCACGAGTCCATGTGGACTTTGCCTAGAATAATGAGTATAGGTGGAGTAACTCTTACGCTTACAGACACAGCTTCGATTACTATAATTAAAGCTTGATTCTTAGGACTTCCTGTATACAGCTCTATAACACTGTGTAGAACTATCACTTTTTCACCTCCTGGAATTCCAACTTGAAAGCCAGTCTCGTCCATATTCCATATAGAATCTACTCCTATATTCCGAGTTGTGATAAAATCGTTATAATTATGAAACCACTTTTGAAGAACGCTCTCATCTTAAGCTTGAACCTGCTGTAGAGCAATAGGCTTCGTTTTTACGATATAAAAATCAGAAAGGTCATTCTTAATGAATTTCGTGGGCCCTCCAACTCCGAAGAAGCATTTGGGTAGGCCACTTATCGGATAGAATAAGTGGCCTACCTGAACACTTCTTCAGAGTTGGAGGGCCCTGGCAAGCATACCAAGCCTGCTATATGAAGGCGGTGGTTTTGGCCATCGAATATGGCAAACAGCAGCAAATGGTAGAGGATGCACAAGCTCAACAGGCTGAAAAGGCAGGGCGATAGCAGAGAAAGAGGCTTCTAAAGAAGCCTAGATAGCCCATTAGGCTACTAACTAGGCCTACAAGCAGCTCTATAGGGCAGGAGTTAAAGCCTAGAAGCAAGAACGCCTCTATAAGAAGAGGGTAAAAGCTTGTTAAAAAAAAAAAAAAAGCTGGCAATCCAATTCCTCTAGAGGATCAAGATCCAATTCCAGATCTAGAGGTAGAGAGTGAAAGTAAGAGTGGGAGTGGGAGTGGGAGTGAGGGCTAGTTTGAGTGAGACAGATATGAGAATTACAAGTAGTTGAATCAACTTAAGTACCTTTTCATATAAATTACTATGTAGTGGTATCTACAAATTTTGGTGGTTGCGAATGCCGTTTGCTTCTGCGAATGCTCTTTGCTTAGATAACTTAATAACTTTCTTTAGATCCTTCCATTCGTCATACAAACCACGATACACATGATATTAAGTCCCTTTTCCCAATTATCAACTTAAACTAATTACTAGACTACTCTTAGAATACCTTCAAAATGCCTTTGAAAAAGCTCTATTCTATGACTCTCAAACAGCGAAAAGCCCTCTGAACCTAGCATCGATTTCACTATCCGAAACCTACACAAAAGGCTACTATATAGTGGTTCCTTGAGCAATACAATCGTCAACTTAGCCAATCTACAGTCTTAGAATCCTTTAGCTCTATATTTTCAGACCTTGACAATACTCCTAATACTCTAGAAACAAACAGCTCTAAAGCTTAGCGTTACTATTGTCATACTGACATTCGTTGCACTCAGTTTGCTATCAAACTCAAGAGCAAACTTAGAAATCTCCTCCTCAAACCTACAAGTCACCATACATATCTTGGCTTATCACACCAACAACAGAAGCAATACTACTCAACAATTGCTGCAAACTCTTCTACTACATCTGTTTATGCTACATACATCACGGCATATCATTTGGACACTCATTGAACAAGTTATTAAGAAAATCTCCTCCTTAAGGGGGTGGGCCAATACTACCACATGGCATATCTCTACCAACTAGAGGCCTAGGAACATGAACGATAGCTCTAGAAGCTTCTACAACCCTCTATGATTCATTACACGTCATCGCTCCTTAGTTACCCACAAGATTGGTTAAGTTATGACATAATTTATCTATAGGTACTCTGACCTTGGACCTCCTTTTCACTTCCTATAGGCTAGGAACCCAAGAGATGGTTCTATGGGATTCTCTTACATTCACTACATGATTAGCAAGCTAGTTGTGGGTCGCACTTGATTTCTAATACATTTACCAAGCCTGGTTAGTCATGGAAAGTCATGGAAAATGAGAGAACTACACTCCTTTGGCATAAATAGGATTGCCCTTTCCTTAAGAAAGGGCAAGCAGGCAATACAGTAAATCAACTATCACATACTTCCACGTCTTTTACAAGCTTCCAAGCATTCATCTTGTTACTCCTTGTTTCTGAAAAGTCAGTGAGGTGTTAACCTCTGACTTACCCCTGAGTTCCCCAGACTCAACATTTGTTGCAACTTGTCTGAACCACTTCACTACATCACACACCTGATTGCTGCGTTGTGGAATAGTCTAAGCTACAACCCTTTGGCTCTGTTTCCTAAGACAGTGTGTTGTCTTAGTAAAATCATCCCTTCCTTGGGTGGCTAGATTCTCACATCTGGTGCACCCACCATTACAACTATGATGTCACCTAGCCTAAATTAGAAGCTGCTCTTTATAACTAGTAGAGTCTTATTAAAGAGCGTAGCAGCATTACAACTATAGAAATCTTACAATCAAAGGTGGAGATTATCTAGAATCAGCTACTACAATACCATAGACTACCTATGCTAGAATTTAGCTATAGATAGATCATAAAGTTTTAACAATAGCATAATATATTATATCAAACTCTATATAGTGAAGCTAGATCTATTAGTGTCACTATAGAAAAACAAATGAAGGCTATACAAACTATTATAGGGGAGTTTTTAGAGGACAATATTTACAACATAGATGAGACTAGGCTTTACTAGAGGATAAGCCCTTTAAAGGGCTTTATAACATGATCAATTCTAGGATAGAAGAAGGACAAAGCATGTATATTAGTAGCCATTTGTGTTAATACAGATCAACTTCCTCTTTGGTTTATTAGAAAGGCTAAAAAGCCTCAAGCTTTACAACATGTTAATGTAGGGGCAATAGGTGGGGTTTAGAGGTGGAATAAGAAGGGTTAGGCAGTGTATTAAACAGTATTAGCAATACGGGCCGTATATGGCCTATATACAGGTCTGTATTGTATAAGGCAATACTAAGTCAGTATGTATTTCAAATTCTAATACAGATCTAGTGTGTATTTAGTTCTTAATACTAGCTATATACAGCTAGTATTTAAGCCTTAATACTAGCTGTATATAGCTAGTATTAAGGATTAAAATTCGAAACAAGGGGTTCAAATAACATCAATTAATAATTAGTTATATGCTATATATTACTATAATAACTTCACAACTATCTAATGCGCTTCACAGCATGACAGTAAGTGATTTGACAGTAAACGATTTGAAACCCTAAGTTTGCCTGTACTTAAACGTACACTATCCTCTTCCTATGTCTCTGTAATAACAACTACAAGCAAATGATTTTCAAAGGTCTAGGACCATACACCTGTTAGCTGCTGCAATATCATTTGTAACCACTTGGGCAGGTTAATATAGCATTGTAGAGTATCTTAAGTCTAGCAGAATGATGGTTATTACAAGGCACCTAAAAGAACACGACATCAATGTATCCCTCTACTTAGGTATCTTGAAAGCAGCATCGCTAATGCTTTTGATAAAGCTAAGGATGTGAATTATAAACGCTGCTATCTCTCTACTATTACAACTCAAGCCTTAGACCCTACTGTTGTTAAGCAGCTATATGTACGATGGATTACAACTTGTAGAGTCCCTTTCTATATGGCAACACTATTGGAATTTAGGGCATTACTCTACTACCTTAATCTAGAGATTGATAACTAGCAACTAAACTCTATTCTAACAATACAGACCTAGACATTGCATACATACGGCTCGTAGGCTCAAAAACAACAAATCAAACATGACGTACAATCAGCTCTCTTAAAAGCCCACTTTACAGTTACCTCTAGACTTCTCCTGACTCCCTTATAATTCTTAGCATAATCGCACACTATATATCCGAAACTGGCCAATTAGAATGCTCTGATTGCATTACAAGAACTAGATGGCGAGCATATAGGTTAATAGCATTATAGTAATATTTATAGTAATCAGCCATATATAGGACTTATTATAAGAAGACCCCCTAGCACCTCTACTTCACCAAGACATAGATGGCAGTTTAGCGGAACTTTACATCATAGAGCTTCGATGGCAAACAAGTCTATCTTCCTAGCCCTGCTAACAGGCACCCTAATGGCTACAATACTGAGTTCTATGGCTTTTAGTTGGATTCTAATGCACTTCTTAGCACCTTTTAGGTGTAAGGATGCCTGTCCCTCAGTGACGGAAAGGATCTGAGTCGGGCAGATTACGGTCACATGATAAGAGTAAAGGCAGGTTACCCGAGTCGGACCCGTTTCGGGTACTTGAGGACCCAACGGGGGTTCCTCTCCCTCCCTCAGTGACGGAAGGTATCTGAGTCGGACAATTCATGGTCACGTGGTCAGGGTGAAGGCAGGTTAGCCGAGTCGGACCCGTTTCGGGTACTTAAGGAGATTGACCCAACGGGGGTTCCTCTCTTCATCTTTTTTGTATCCTTCATAGTAGACCTATAGGATAGCATCCGTTTAGCCTCCGACTTGCACTCTCATATGCTATTACTGTGAGCTGGGTGCCCCGTGTCCTTACATTATACAAAAAAGATCACGCCTGCCGGGGACGGCCGTACTTAAATAATATCCCACACCGGAACGACTCAGGAGAACTACCGTTACACCATCGACTGTGACTCGGTGACGTTTCAGAGGAGAGACCTGACGACTTCAAATAGCGGGCGAAGCTCTGAACTCAGATTTGGCTTACAACAATGACACCCGAATCGGGTTAGCGCAGCCACCCTCCTTGTGCGATGGGGAACTTTTGACGCCTACCTGTAGCGGATATCTCCCGGTGCTCATTCGGACCATCACCACTAAGCCAGAGATCGAACAAAGAAAAAAAGAGTAGTCGCATACCAGACGGAGCTGATATGGTATTACTGCCCCAGGACTATTTTTCCATCTCCCGTCACATCAGACCAATGCGGTTGTCACTAATGTGGCCATGCGCGCCAACCCTACGACAAAGAACGCCTAGCTCACAGAGGCTACCCGGATGGGTTCCGGACTATAGGCGGGTGGCGTGCTTCGCAGACAAAGCACTCTCTTAAGACGGGGGGTAGTGTAAGGATGCCTCCTTACCTAGATACTCGAAGAACCTGTCTCAGAACTGTTACGGTCACTACAAGCATGAAATCTGACTCGGTGTGGTTTCGAACCAGTAGAGGAGCACATAGCGAGTTACACTATAGTGGGGGACGGTAAGGGTGTAGGGTTCAGGGTCGATGCCGACCTGTTGCGGTGGAAGGTTCAGGGCTAGGGTTGGGATAACCGAGTCAGGCCCGTTTCGGGTACTTAAGGAAACAGACTCAATGGGGTTCCCCCTTCATCTTTTTTGTATCCTTCATAGTAGACCTATAGGATAGCATCCGTTTAGCCTCCGACTCGCACTCTCATATGCTATTACTGTGAGCTGGGTGCCCTGTGTCCTTTCAAGTCATATATCAGACGCTATAGACCTTTCGATCTTTTTGAATCTAGCAGAGGAGGGAATACAAGAGGTGGAGGGAGGCTTAGATGAGGACACAATTCTACAGGAGGCGATGGCTCTATATATACAGGTTTCCGATGCTTAAGATGATTATGATGAGGAGCCCTAGCGTCCTGTGCTTACCATACAGAACGCTATACAAGCCCTCTAAGTTCTAATTGAGTTCTTAGAATCTAAGAATAGTAGCATCATGGATCTAGCATCATTTTTGCTCTCTTTACGGAGGTGTTGTTCATAAGTTTTGTGAGTGGGTCGGGCTAGGGCCCCCTGCATAGGCTGGTTTGGCAATTCTGGCCAAAGTACCGATTCTCACGCGTCACGAACACTTGAGTGTGAGAGCAATCAATTCTATAGAATAATGAGTAGAGTAGATACCTAAACCCCTATATAAAACTATACTATAAGCCTAGTACTCTGTGTGCATACCATTTGCAGCAATTACTGCTGCCATACGTGTAGGCATACTATTAAGGAGAGCATTAAGCTCAGCTTCTCCAACTTGCTCCCACGCTTCCTTAACAGCTACACGGAGCTGGTCATAGGACATATGTTCTGGATGATTATCTTGTAGATAATTCTTCATAATATGCCACACCCGTTCAATTGGGTTGAGATCTGGTGAATACGGGGGCCATTCTATAGGGCAAATACCATGGGATCTCAACTCTTCATATGTTGCACCTGCTCTATGACCTGAAGCTCCATCTTGCATCAATGTAAGGCCTGGGTGTAGGCATAGCCAGCCGTGGATTAGAGGGACAGTATGAGCCATATAGGACTCAGCTCCTATTTTCCCATATTCCTTCTCCCAAAATAGTATAGGACCCTTTCCAAGACCACCTGAGAAGCAGCCCCAGAACATCCAACCTCTAGGGATTGTTAGTAAATCCTATAGTAAATAGGAGTCTCTTACCTTCTCCGTTGTACTCTATCTACAACACATGTTCATCCCACATTTCCCCTGCTTTTCGAGTAACCCACGTACGAGTATGGCGGCCTCCCGTTACCCACGTCTCGTCAGTCCAATCATTCCGTACCCAATCCTTATGTTCAATAGCCCATGCAAGTCGCTTTTGTCGATTTGTCTCTGAGATAATAGGCTTCCGCATAGCAATTCCTTAATAATTATTAGTCTATATAGTAGTAAAGTAGAGAGGGATACTTACGTCGATTATAGCCTCTCACAGACAGAGCGCGGGTTAGGACAAGCCGTGAGCATGGAATATTAAGAATGCGTATTATATTTGTATATGGCATACTCCTATTCGTGCGAGATGAGGCTATAAACTCAATAACCTCTTGAACTTGCTCATCGGATAGGATAAGTGGCCTACCCGAACGCTTCTTCGGAGTTGGAGGGCCCTGGCAAGCATACCAAGCCTGCCGTTCTTGTATAGGCTGCAATTTTTTGGAACTCCCAATCTAGGGAGCGTAGTAGTGCGCAACGAAGCCGCTCATCGCGAGTAAGATGAGGCATTGTAGTTATTGAAAGAGTATGAATTTCCTACATATAAAATACAATAGTAGGAATTTTGACGCGTTAAAAAGGTACAAACAAGCCTACGCGTACCCATGCTCCAACCCATGCCCAACCCCCGGTCATCTCATGACCCACTCACAAAACTTATGAACAACACCTCCGTAGAGTGCGTGGAGAGGCAATTTGTAGCCAAACAGGCTAATGACTTAGTTCAAGGCAGGTTGGATGGATGGATGGTTTAGCTGAGGGGCTACTTCGGGTCCACTTCGGGTCCACTTCGGATCACTTTCTAACTCGATATTACTATAACTCGATATATTTATACATGACCAATTACATCGACTTAACGAGATAATACTATATGCGAATTCCCGTGTCGGTGTGGGGGTGGGGATTTTCGGTGGAGAAGGAAGTGGAGAGCAGGTAGGGCAGGTAGTCGGAGTCTGAATTCAGTGGTCACCATCGTAGATGTATTGATGTTCCCGGGCAGTGGTGCACGCCTCGCTGCATTGAAAGCGGCGGGATGTTCTGTGTGCGTGAAATCTTGTGTGTGCTGCGGAGTCCACCATTGTGCATGTACTGCCAGCAAGCAAGACATTGAGCGAGTCGGGGCTGGGAAAAATGAAGAAACGTCAGACACTGAGCCAGACACAACTCTTCGTCCCTAGCGATGGACAGAGACAGTGCTAGCAGGAGGTGAGCCACAGCAACGGAAACGGCAATATAGAGCTGACGGTGGTGGTTGTTGCCACTGTCCCATTGTTTCCAGAGGCATTGCCATCCACTTCGAGGTGTGGGAGAGTCTAGTCGAATGCGACGCAGGTGAGGCGAGTGGTAGTGGTGACGGACATCGTATCTAATCCCGTCAGTAGAGCTCGTATCGAGAAGACAGGACCGTACTTTCAGTCTGTCTAGTCTCCTGCTCCGTCCTGCCCGTCCCGTCCAGCATGTACACCTCTTCACCGCAGAGCGCCCCTCCTCGTTGTCGTGGCAGCCCGACGTCGTTACCTCCCATAACATCGTCATCGGCGGGGATCTAGAAGCGGCGATACTCATTCGTAGGGCGTTGATAGAACTGATGCTTGTATGACTGTACCATGCAGTAGTCTGCAGACTGTACAGCCCTTGCTCAGGTCGACTGGGGTTCTGTTGAGGGAAAAACGGGAAAAGCAGTGGAGAGCAGTGGAGAGCAGTGGAGAGAAGTGGAGAGCAGTGGAGAGCAGTGGAGAGCAGTGGAGAGCAGTGGAGAGCAGTGGAGACAACAAATGGCTCCAGTGACACCTCAACAAGCCATTGGTGGTTGAATGCTCGTACCGTACTGTTCCTTGCCCTGGTCTTTCCGCGCCAAGCTAGCGCCGTGGGCCATCGTGCTTGCTTAAAAATACCGCACTCCAGGCTACACACACTAACCTCCACTAAAATATCCACTAACTCTCACTAACTCACACTAAATTTAGTGACCTGAACGTTCTGGTTCGTCCCATTGTCAGGTACCACCACACTCTGCACGGTAAACGCGCTAAACGACAAACTAACCCACAGACAACAGCTTACATCCAGCCACATTCGAGCCAACGACATCTTCACCACCACAGCAGCAAGACAACTTCAGAACAGCACCCGTATAGATCTAAACAACTGCGATCGGGTTGGTACTTCTTTCCCGCACAAACTAATGATTTCAATTCCGGTATGTCGGTGACAAAGCTCCACGGTAAGTTGCAGAAAACGGACGCTCGACGTTTACAGGTGAGACCAAGGTGAATTTATGCTGTCTCCCATCTTGAAAGCCCTGCCTTAAAGAGCCCCCCCTCTCCTCCCTGCTCTTTTGTTCTTTTCTTTCCTCATTACGTTCAATTCCAATCCACTGCCAGTCTTCTTCCAGTCCTCCGAGTAACTCCTTCGCTACGGTTACTCTCAAGACCTTCGTTGATCCTCTTCAAGTAGCTCAAGCACTCACCCCAGAAGCTCATCAACATGAAGACCACTTTCGCTCTTGCGGCTCTTGCCATCTCTGCTGTGTCCGGACAGGCCGTCCTCCAGCCTCGCTGGCCCCATGAGAAGAATGTGACGACGAGCACCGTCACCGACATCACCACCACCTTTGTTACCGAATGCCCTGTGACAACCACCAAGTGTGTCCTTATACCATTGCACCTAGCCATTCAGCGAGGAAATGTCAACAATTCTAACAACTTTCTAGGACTAAGCATGGCACCACCCAAGTCATCACCTTCACCACGACCTCGACTGTCACAAAAGTGATCCACACCACCATCCCAGTCACCGTCAAGGGCCCCGACTCGACCGCCACCACCACCGCGGTTGAGACTCAGTTCACCACCTCTCTGTGCCCAGTCACCAAGACCATCACCGAGTCCGGCAAGGTCATCACTGTGGTCTACACGTCCACCTCCATCATCCCCGTCAAGGTCCCTTCCACGGTTACCAATGTCGTTACCGCCAATCCATCCACTGTGCCAGTGACTGAGATCGACTTCATCACGAAGATCATTCCTTGCCCATTGACCGTCACTTCGACCGTCAGCGGCATCCCAGTGACTCTCACCAAGACCTCGTTCTCCACCATCGTCACCAAGGTCCCAATTACCGTTGTTGACCACACAACCGCCATCACCACCACCTTTGTGACTACCAAGATCTTCACCACGACCACCTGCCCGGTCACCTTCAAGACCACCATCTCGGCCAACTCCACCATCGTTATCCCGGTGACCAACACCAACACCATCGTTGTCACAAAGACCCACCCCGTCACCGAGACCAACATTCGGACTCTGACCTCCCACCCAGCTGTGCCAACTGCCCCTAAGCCAACTGTCCCTAAGCCAACTGTCCCTAAGCCAACTGCTCCTGCGCCAACTGTCCCTAAGCCAACTGCTCCTGCGCCAACTGCTCCTGCGCCAACTGTCCCTAAGCCAACTGTCCCTGTCCCAACCACGATGGTGCCATCTGGATCTAAGCCTTCCGAGGGTGGCTCCAAGCCATCTTCCAGCAGCCCTGAGCCAACCCATGGCGGATCTACGCCAGGGGTCACCCCAATCCCAAACACCATCCCAAAACCCAACAACGCTGGCTTGAACAAGCCTATCTTTGTGGCTTTCGCTGGTGTCCTTATGGGTCTTATCGCTCTCATGTAGAGTGTGATATCTGCTGAGATTTGAGGCGCATCTAGGAGTGCAGCCACGAGGGGGGATACACGTTTTATACGGGATGTAAACTTGGACGCGATGAATTTTCCAACGAAGCTACATGACCTAGAGGCGTCACACACTCATTTTGATATATACTTTCTTCATGGATTAAAAGGAAGGGCGAATAGGGAGGAAGGGAAGGACGGAAATGGGAAGGAATTGGGAGCAATGTGGTAATGTGGGTACTTGAGTTGAGAGCTCCGAAGACAGACAAAAAGACAATAATATATGCGCTGGCAATTCAGCTCACCGATCTTTTTCTTCTCTCTTAATAGTGGTTGTATATTATTCAGATATGGTATGGGACTGAAGCAGACATGTTGTGAAGATGGGAGATGATGACAGCAGCTACGCTTAAACAAAACACATTAAATCCATGTTCTTTTAAGGGGTTTGATGTAAATCCATGTTCTTTTAAGGGGTTTGATGTGAGACTACTAATGTAAACAAATTGGGAACTAACGCGAATATTTCACAAGTCAACAAATATTATCGACAGCCGATCCCGACCTTTAATCATATTCCTCGTCGTGTCTGGATTCGAACAGCGATGTGTCATCCTGAGCAACAGATTCTTCTTCCGGTGCTAAATCAAGATGTTGTAACTCATTACTCTGTATGCTACGAAGAATTGAGCAAGTCTAATGGAATTGCACATATGAGCAATACAAGGACGTCGGCGTTCGTATCAAATATCTGCAGAACATCAGCCAGTCCTACATAACTACTCTAGCGGGGTCTAAATTTACAAGTCGATCCTTGTCAAATCCGGAATTGATTGCACTGGTGGCAGTGATTTGCATCAAGGGTTCTAGAAAGAAATATAATGCGACGATGAAATATCAGAGCATTACCCTTAAATTGAGTTATGCTTAAAACGGCAAGGCCGTGCAGGATGAGTTTATATAATGGGACGAGGTTTAGAGCTCACTATACAGTCACAGCTCCAAGTATATACGTTTCTCAACGTGAAATTTTGCTAGTGTAAGTTCATTCTAATACAAAATTTTGATGTCTACAAGCGGCGCCTCTTGCTCCTCCTCATACCTATCACGGCTTGGGGTCGTTTCCCTGGTGCCGATCTATCCGTTGAATCCAAGGGACTACGTCGCAGCTACAGTCCGAGCTAGATAAAGCTTTTGCCTCGCCGTGGTCCGCCTGACCAAACGTAGCCTTCAAATTCTGCCGCTCTTCAAACCATTTCATGGGATTGGGAAATCTGCTAATGCTTCGCCGAAATAACCTGCTACAACACAAGAGTAGGTCGACCACATCAATTGGATGCCGAACAGAGATTGTGACTTTCTTTTGGAAACGACCGCAACCATGGCAGATCAAGGCTAACCAATCCCAAGTAAACCTCGTCATCTGTTATAAATCAAGAATAAGGGTATCTAGATGTTATGTTTTGCACGAGAGCCCGACTATCAGCACTCCGAGATAGAATAGATCCACGGCATACGTAGATAATACCCTCGCGTACTAGGGGCTCGCCAAGCAGAAGGAGACTGCTTTGAAGGCCCTGGCAAGCCCATCCATGTCGCCTAGGTTGTTTCGTACCTGGTCCTAGAGGTCGGCCATCTGGTCCACCTCATCGATATTAGGCACCCTGCCTTTTAGCGGTACATCAAGGCGGAAATGCTGCCCTTTTATGTCTTTTTCCAGCCCGTGCCAATGATCTTTCCAACTATTGCCGCTATCTAGCGATAGTGAGGACATGGAAGCTTGATAAAGCCGCGCTATTGCACCGTCCTGGAAGAGATTCCGAACATTAGGGGCTTTAGGTGACGTTAGCTGCTCCTTAAAACCTGTGCCTATGGATAAGACTATGTCACAGTCCTCATCTCTCCATATACGTCGAACCTCCCGACGCCCTGGCCTTAAAGGGTTATTGTACTTCAATCCACCATCTTGGAACGTCCAGAACTTTACATCTCCGAGAACATTCTGTTTAGTTCCGTCTCAATGTCTCTGCAAATTAATTCGCTTGATAGCTGCTGGGAAGCTGAAAAATCTCGAAACCCGTGGAGTACAAGAGGACGATATAAGGCTTAGAACACATGGGATGGGTTGAATACTAATCTATGTTAGCTATGCGAGCAACAAAATTGATTGATGCTTAATGCATGCCAGGAGGAAAGCTATTGAATATAATAGCTGAAGAGATGAAGGGCACAGGTGTAAGGATGCCTCCGTACCTAGATACTCGAAGAACCTGTCTCAGAACTGTTACGGTCACTACAAACATGGAATCTGACTCGGTGGGGTTTCGAACCAGTAGAGGATCATATAGCGAGTTACACTATAGTGGGGGACGGTAAGTGTATAGGGTTCAGGGCCGATGTAGACCTGTTGCGGTGGAAGGTTCAGGGCTAGGGTTGGGATAACCGAGTCGGGCCCGTTTCGGGAGTTAAGGAAACAGACTCAACGGGGTTCCCCCTTCATCTTTTTTGTATCCTTCGTAGTAGACCTATAGGATAGAATACAGCATCACCTCCGACTCGCACTCCCATATGCACCTACGGAGAGCCGTATTCCCTGTGTCCTTACAACAGGGATGTTGTTAAGTAATTTATTCTCTAGAGACAAGCACAAGAATTAGTTGATGTGGTCTTGAAATTCACTGTTCATCATATTTCCTTCTCTGAAGGCGCGTATAAAGTTAAACGTCTCCTTAGGCGTCTTTGAAAACCTAGTCGCCTTCTCAAAAAAGGCAGCTAAATGTATTAAAGAGAATAGAGTATGAGAATCAAGTCGAGTTTGCCGTGCAGTTATAGTCTCCTGAGCTAACAACCACTCTAAAGCGGTCAGATTTAGATGCAGTGCGAGACTTAGGTAGCATGTTTATAACATTTAGCGAGAAGAAATAGCTAGAGAAGGTAGCGGTCGAAAATAGCTGCGACTGAAAGCGCAAAATCTCCGAGTCAAATATCTCCTAGCATGTGAGTGACGACTAGCACCTGAGGTCGAACTGTACTCGGCAGACTAGAAGCAGAATTGAGCTTTGCCCATGTGCTACCACGCCACAGAGACCCCTGCAATCATCTGCAAAGATGCAAATAACATCAACAAACATTGCGAGCAGGCGAGCGTGAATAATATCAATCAGATCCTGGCATGTCAACAGTGTAGTGCGAAACTCGCACTGCGCTGTTTTGTCCCGGTCGAAGTGTTGTAGCATGAGTGCTTCTGTAACAGTCTACTTAATCAACTCAAAGGCTGCCTGGCAGGCTTGGTTCCATTCGAATATTTGACCTTTCTTTGTGAGATTTACCAGTGGCTTCATAATAGTAGAGTAGCTTCTTATAAACTGCGGGTAGAACACACAGAACCCAATGAAGGCTTGTGTATCTCAGAGCGACCTTGGTGCTTTCCATTCAAGTATAGTTTGGACTTTTGCGGGGTCCATTCTCATGCCGTAGATTCCAATGATAAGCCCTAGGAATTTTGTTTCTTGGACATAGAATTCACATTTTGCAATGTCTGCTTGTAGTCCAGCTTCGCGGAGCTTCTGTAAAACCATTTGCAGGTGCTGGGTATGCTCAGATCGATGCGCACTATAGATGAGAAGATCGTCCATATATGCTGTAACAAATTTGTTTATGTATTCCATAAGGGTTTCATTCATATATCGCTGGAATGTTGCAGGGCCATTTGTAAGGCCAAAAGGGAGGACCTTGTACTTGTATGATCCAAATCTCGTCTTAAAGGTAGTGAGATCTTCATCTTCTTATGTTTGCATACGGATCCGATTAAATGCATGACGAATGTCAATCTTTGTAAGATATTTGGCACCTGTGATCTGAGCCAATGTTGTAGCGGGTATGAGTCTTTTCTTGTAATGGCATTTAACTTACGGTAATCAACACAGAATCGAAGTCCGCCACCTGGTTTGTGGACGAAAAGGACAGGAGAGGCAAAGGGAGCTTTGCTAGCTTCAATAAATCCTTTCGACAAGTTGTCGTCAATATATTTCTTCACAAGATCAAGTTCCTCCTTTGACATGTTGTAAAGGGGCGCATGTCCTAATTTCGAATCTTGTTCTAAGACGATGTGGTGGTCTGCATATCGGTGAGGGGGGAGTTCATCTGCAGCCTGCTTTGAGAACACATCGAGATATTCATGGAACTCCTTTGGGAGGATCAGTTTTGGGTCAATTTCCTTCACTTTCTCCTTTGCCTGTTCAGCGAGTATATCTTTAAATGATACTGCAAAAACCTCAGCTCCCTTCTGCTTCCGAAGCATATTAAATGGTGCAGCTCCAATCATTGTGACAATGCATGTGTTCTTGTTCTTATAAGGAGGTTGGAGGGCTGGCTTCCAAGCTTTGTCATCTTGTATTTGCTTATTGACTTGGGGTAATGTAGGTTTCGGATTTTGAGTATTCATTGGTGTAGTGTGCTGGCAATGACCTTTAGTAAATATGACTTGGTCATTTACCATATCAAGTATAACTCCATGTTGCTTCATCCAAGCCTTCCCAAGAATGACAGAATGTTTCCCAAGAGTGGTGATGAATAGAGGGCATAGACTTTTAACATGGTCTTGGACCTGTAGGCGAGGGTATATAGCATGAGTGATGGGAGGGGCTGCTTGTAACGCTGACTTCTAAACGATAGAAGACACAGAGGTTTCTTGCGTAAGGTTGACTTGACAGAGGAGGCAGGGGATTAGACACAAAGGCTTTCCAAGTAACACGTTACAGTATTGTAAAGAATACTATATTGAGTTGAGCACAAAGCTCCTATCTAAGGAAATACTATCTACTTATATAGTGGCGTCGTGCCTCATGGGTAATCTGGATAGTTGGCGGATAGCTAGATATTCAGGATAGTTCGTGGATAGCTCAACTATCCAATATCCACTAGTTTCTGCAACTATCCATTAGCCCCACAGAAATACATACTCCGATTGTAGCCCCGAACTGAGAGTGCACGTCGTAGTACAAGGCGTGAGCAAGGAATCCGGAGAACTTGTATTACGTCTGCATATGACATACGCCTATTTGTACGAGAAGAGGTTATAAACTCAATAGCCTCATTAACTTGCTCGTCGGATAGGATAAGTGGTCTGCCTGACCTCCGTTGCGGAGTTGGTGGCCCCTGGCAAGCATATTGAGCCTGCCGTACTGTGCAGCCTACATTGTCTGCTATTTCCTGAATCTCCCAATTGAGGGAGCGAAGGACTGCACACCAAAGCCGCTCATCGCAAGTAAGGTGAGGCATTGTAGTTGTTGAAGGAGTATATATTTCCTACATACAAATTTATATAACGTGGTTGTACACCAAGTCGTGAATGTCACCGAGTCGTGAAACTTTTTTATACCCACCACTGTAAGGTATAATTAAACAACCACAACATGTATTA